GGTTGAGGCTGCGGTGGCTGGGAGCGTGCCACTGCACTCCAGTCTGGGTGACAGAGTGAGACTCCAACTCAAAAGAAAAGAAAAGAAAAAGGATTGCCCATCCAGAAAACCTAAACGTGTGCTGATCCCTGATGTCATGGCTCCCGAAGCTGCCTGCGACTCAGGACTGCTCACCTTCTCTTCAGGGTTTATGCTGTTCAGGGCCTTGATACACAACTTTGTCCTGTGCGTGCACATCTTCCCAGAACCAAGGGAGCCACAGACCCAAGGTCCTCACTTCGGGAAACTGAAGGGAAGAGGGAAGGGCGGTGGTCCTTGGGGGAGGGGATTGCTGGTGCTGACCCCACAGCTTCCCCTTGCTTCCCAACCTGGACCTTGACTGATTGCACAGCTTCTCCCCCCCCCCCCACACACAGCTAGGTTCCCATGCCTGCTGTCAGCCCAAGGCCCTTTCTGCCCAGTTGGTCTTGGGTGGAAACTGAAGGGCAGAATAGTGCTGAGATGGACCGGATGTGGTGACTCACGCCTGCAATCCTAGCACTTTGGGAGGCAAAGGTGGGAGGATCGTTTGAACCCAAGAGTTCAAGACCAGCCAGGGCAACATAGCAAGACCTCATCTCTACCAAAAAATAAAAAGAGAACGGGGGCCGGGCGCAGTGGCTCACACCTGTAATCCCAGCACTTTGGGAGGCGGAGGCGAGAGGAGTGCCTGAGTCCAGGGGTTCCAGACCAACCTGGGCAACTTGGCAAGACCTTGTCTCTACAATAAATCAAAAAATTAGCCAGGTGTGGTGGTGCATGCCTGTAGTTCCAGCTACCGGGAAGGCTGAGGTGGAAAGATCGCCTGAGTCCAGCAGGTCGAGGTTGCGGTGGCCGGAAGCATGCCATTGCACTCCAGCCTGGGCGACAGAGCAAGACTCCTACTCAAAAAAAAAAAAAAGAATGGGGTTGAAACTGGAGAGTTCCCCTTCTCCAGTCATCAGGACCTTGGACAGGTCTCAGGACTGCTCTGTGCCTCAGTTTGTCAAATAGGAAGAATAAACTACTTTCCTTATAAGGGTCTTGAAAATTTCAATGAAAGGCCGGGCTTGGTGGCTCAGCCTGTAATCCCAGCACTTTGGGAGGCCGAGTGAGTGGATTGCCTGAGCCCGCGGGTTCGAGACCCGCCTGGGCAACTTGGCGAGACCTCATCTCCACTGTAAATAAAAAACTAGCCGGGCATGGTAGTAGGCACCTGTAATTCCAGCTACTTGGAAGGCTGAGGTGGAAGGATCGCCCGAGCCCAGCAGGTCGAGGCTGCAGTGGCCGGGAGCGGCCATTGCACTCCAGTCTGGGTGACAGAGTGAGACTCCAACTCAAAAAAAACCAAAATTTTTCAATGAAATAGCACCCATCAAAGTGCTCAGAACAGGGCCCGCTGGGTAGTAGGGCTCAATAAACTTTAGCTCTTATTGACATTTGTCGTCAAGATTGGGGTGTCCTGGGATAGGAGTGGGAGGATGGTCCCGGCTCCAGTCCCACTGCTGCGTTGCTGTGAATGTTTAGGGAGGTGACCCAGCCTTCGGGCCCCCGCCTCCCTGTCTGTGAAGCGATGGGGTTACACCCGTCTCACATTTCCTGAAGCATGATATTGTTCTTGTGCTGGTTTTACACGGTTTCTGGAAGAAAGTTCTAGAATCCGAGCGGGGGCCTTTATTCCCACATCTATGAGGGGAAAATGTGACTGGCACCTCAAATCTGCGTCCTCTGAGAGCTGCCGCTTAGGGTGGGGCTCAAGCAGGCACCGTCGGGGTGTCCGTCCCGTCGTCCGCAGGGATTATGGCAGGGGTGTGGGGAGAAGAGGGTAGGGAGGCCCCCGGCCCTCACCGCTGTCCTCTCTCCCCGCAGGTGCTGCAGAGTCGCCTCCAGCTGGGCCGGGAGGCCGGGCCGCTTCTCAGACCCCTCAGACCCCACCAGGACCAGGCCCCCCCACTGCCCCTTTCAACGCCACAGCCCTCCTCTGATCCAGCCCTTGCTCACCTCCTTCCTGTTTCCTGAAACGCTTCCCGCGGTGCCCAGACCGAGTTCTTCCTCCTTGACCCCTCCTCTCCTGTGACCTTCCCGTATTGGGCACCTGACTCATTTCCTGACTTCCTTGGGGGTCCTGCCAGCCCTCCCACCCACGTCGCCCGGTCTTCCCAGCACGCCCTAACCGTCCCTGTGTCTTCTGGAACATTCCACCCCGCCCCCGCTCGAGCCCGGCCACACTTACTTCCTAGTCCTCTGCAGTCACCCCTCGCCCCTCCACTGCCCGGGGTGCCTTCACCTCCTCCCTAAACCCCCCTCCCAGACGACCCTGGGGGCACCCCCGCGTGGCCACATCGAAGCCCCCGCGGGGTCTACACACACCCGCCCTGTCCAGCCTCGCGGTTCGCCCCCG